GCATGGTAACAAGAAATAAAGTTAGTTCATGTCCATGCAGTGGCCACCTTCCTTCTGAGGGATGTTAATGGATTGAGAGAACAGTAATAAGTTCCAGAGCTTTTCACCACCTAAGCCACTGGTTGAAATCCAGTCTAGTGTTGGAGGCAGAAAGTTATCGTCTGTTAGATGTACAGTTGTTGTTGCCAGTGAGTTCGGTACTCTCGGTCTGGTTCCTTATCAGCAGGGAATCCAAATTGTGAAAAACTTCCTTGTTTCTCATAGATGTTGTTACTTATCCTATTAAAAAGCAGTAGGTTCCAAGTGCCAGGGCTAATTTCACTGACTAGCACTAAACTCAGCAAATAGTTGCCCTAATCAAAAAATTTACACATTTTCTTAAACCCTCAAAATATTTCTGTTCTGCCTTTGCCAATGCCATCTCATTTCTTCTCGCTTTTATCACTTAGCTCATTTCCTTTTTTATTAAAATCCCTGCGCCTTTCTCAAGCACTTGTCTCGAATGGTCATTTGATACATTTTGTTCTTACTCGTTTCACAAAACTTTTAGTACTATTCTTTATTTCTAAAATAATTTTTCCTTTTTCTGTTCAACCCAATAATGCTTTTTTCTTTTCAGAATTTTCCAAATATACTTAAAAATGTTATTGACTAGTTTTCTTTTATCTTCCTGTTTTAGATTTTTCTCTTTCACTTCTGATTATAGCATATGTGAGAAACTTATTTTGTTTATCTATTTAAAGTTCTCAACCTCTTCTTGGAACTCATTAATTATCTGGAAATGAAAACATTGTTCTTTAGCACTTTTGTATCTTTAAATGGAACATAAAATGTAGGATGGTTTTAGTGTTTACAGTCTTTTCACCCAGTTGCCCTTGGATGTTTAAGTATGGGCCTGATAAAGTATCATTTTAAATAGGAGACAGTTACACTCAAAGATTTACATTTTTATAGATTTAACCAGAGATATTTGAAATTTCTGTTACTGGTCTCCATGTCTTGTACTATTAATGATGGTAGTTGCATATGTTTCAACTTGTCCTTCCCCTATGCTTGGCCTACTCCATGCATTAGATCTAGCTTTGAGGTCAGAATTCAGTGTTTAGAAAATCATTTTTGTTTATTAAGGAAACATTGGACAATATTTATTTATTTAGAAAATAATTTCCTGTTTATCAAGGAACTATGGGATAGCATTTGTTTTGTACGTATTAAGTTTTAATGGAGGAAGAATATTTTTCTGGTCTGAGACATGGAGACTTACTGATATCTGATTATTAGAATGATAATCTATATTTGTTCAAATGTATTTTATTCACGAAAATGCAAGCATTTTTATTTACTAAACATATTTTATAGTTGCTGGTCAAAATATCATTTATAAAAAAACATATTCCCACAGAGATAAATCTCAGAGACAGAGTTGCTTGCTCAACATTAGATGAGATCTAAAAGCCCTTGCTGATCTCATGCTCTGTTTGCTAACCTCTCTTAGTGCTCATGAAGGAGGGCTTCGTTCCAAAATTGTGTATTGAACCATTTTGCTTCTACCTGCTCTATTGATAAGGCTTCTGTTCCAGTGTTACTTGTGGCTTATGAGTTTCTTAAGTAGAATTCATTAGAGGTTCAGCAATGTGTCCTTAAATATCATTGACTATTTTCACCTGTGCTATTCTCCCTTTCCCCCCCACCCCCTTCCACAGACTGGTTGAGATAGCAGAATCTCGTTTTCCCAGATATTTTAACGATGAAGAAAAATTACTTTTGACAAGCAGTAAAGTTCATCTTTATCGGGAACTCAACTGTGATGAAGTTTTACAAAGGTACACTTTAGATTTTGTTACTTTAGTAGTACTTTGAAGACTTAGTTTTTGTTTTTCATGTTTCAGGTTTTGAGTGATAAAAAAGTCTCTACCTATAGGATTATGGGAAATTATTTCAGTGTTCTTTATTTACTGTAGCCTGTTGGTTGCAGTATTTCTTTAAAAATAATTTTAAAGAAATTAAACAAATGTTTTAGCTTTAATTAATTAAGTAGTATATTAATTATCTGTTGTTTCATTAACAAATTCCCCAAGGTTTAGCAGCTTAAAATAGCAAACATATATTATCTCACATAGTTTTTAAGGGTTAGGTATCTGGTTGTGGCTTAACTAGGTATTTCTGGCTCACTTGGGGCTAGAATTCCAAGGTCACTCCTGTAGTTGCTGGAAGGTTTTCCTTCCTTCCTGGTTGTTAGCCAGAGGCCTCTGTCCTCACCACATTGGCCTCTACATAGGGTTGCTTATAACACAGCCACTTGCTCTCCCCTCCCCCTCTCCCAGAGTGAGTGATCTGGGAGAGAGTGGGCAAGTGAGAGATAGCCCAAAATGGAAGCTGTAGTCTTCTATAACCTACTCTCAGACATGACATGACATCCTTTTGTCATATGCTATTGGTCACACAGACCAGCCCTAGTACAATGTGGGAGAGACTCCACCAGGTGTGAATACCAAGGACTGGGAGTAAATGGGGGCCATTTTAGAGATTGGCTACCACAGGTAGTTCAAGCAATATCATAAGAGAGGCAAGGAATGAAACAAAATAAAAACATTTTGATTTATTTCCAAAAGAATGCACTATGTGTAGAAGAGATATGTGAAAATAAGTTATGTATATTGAATGCTTGCAATCATTACTGTAAGTTAGGGAAGAACAATTTGCTATTGTTTTTCAGTTGGCTAACCTTTGCAATGTCCTATTTTTTATTACATTTAAATTTTTCTGCTATTTTACAAATTTCGCATTTATAGGATTGAATCTCTAGAAGAAGAAATTATTTCAAAAGGAGTTAAACTTGTGATTATTGACTCTGTTGCTTCTGTGGTGAGGAAGGAGTTTGACACACAACTTGAAGGCAACATGAGAGAAAGGAACAAGTTCTTGGCGAGAGAAGCAGCCTCCTTGAAATATTTGGCTGAAGAATTTTCAATCCCAGTAAGTTTTTCTTTTTTTCTCTTTCTTTCTTTTTTTACTTCTTTCTTTTCCTTTATATTAAGTTCACCGACTTATAATATCAAGTAATATAATTAGAAGATGATGGAAACAAATGACTTTCTAAAGATAGCACAGTCTAATTGCTATAGCAGATGTCACCATCTTAAATTTGTTCATCTATTGAGATTATTTTATCCTTTTCACAATTTGAGCCTGGAGCAGATTTATTTATTTATTTAACTATCTGTCTATTTATTTAAAATTTTCTTTAATTTTTCAATTATAGTTGACATCCAGTATTATATTAGTTTCAGGTGTACGACATAGTGATCAGACAGATATATAACTTAGGAAGTGATTAGTCCGTTACTGTCGGCATGATTTTCAGTAGTGGGAGTTGTGATCAGGAAATCTGAAGATGAGGATATATTGCAAGGGTTTGTGGTAGATAAACTACAGGATACGGGTATGTACTAAAGTAATTCCCATTAGCGGTATGTGAGAGAGTTCTACTTGTTCTGCAGCCTCATCAACATTTAGTATTGTCAGGCTTTTTGATTTTAGCCATGCATCGTTTTAACAGAAGAAAAGAAAATTCATTAAACTGAGATAAAATTTAGTTATGATTTTATAATTTTTAGATTTGTGTTTAGAAAATTAAAATCTTGGATCTTTGTAACATAAAGAATATGTACCGATTGTGTAAACTACCACATAGCCTTAGAGATTTATACAACCAAACGAGAAGTCGAGGGAGAAAGGGGCTCTGCTTTTCTTTGTTTTTAATAGAGCCCTCTGAAAGAATAGTACTTAGTATCCCCTATCCTTCTGTCTTTGCTTTTGTTTTTCTGTTTCTGTTAAGTACAGAGTACATATACTTAAATAACAGTGTGATATTGGTTTTTGTGACAAGTAAGTATTGGTTTTAGAAGGTTTTTGAAAAATACTTTCTTTAGGAAATGTCAGAAATTTCCTAACCTCATTATCTCATTGAAGTGGAAAATAATGAACTTCTAAATGTTTATGATATACTTTGAGTAGATGGCTTCCTATGGAACTAAGTGTCTGAAAAAGTATATTGTTGTCTGGTTCATTATGCCTTTGAAACTAGGAAACCTTATGCGTCGTCCTTGTAGTTCTTCAAACATGCCAACAAACACTCTTGCCTCAAGAAGTATTTGCTGTTCCTCAGCCCGGAATAGTCCTACTCATATCCATATAATTTATTCTCTCCTGTTACTTTATTAGTGAAGACTTCTCTGATCATAAATATTAACTACATTTCCTACCCTCCCCATGTCTTACTATGCTTTACGTTTCTCCATCACATACAAATGAAAATATATGCTAGTTTTTACCCTGTAGTATTATATGTTTACATTTATTGTTTGTATGTTCCCTCTACCCCATAGAGGGGTTAAAGGGATTCTGTCTACTTTGTTCACTGCTTTATTCTTAGTACCAGAAATAGTGCCTAATATGTGGTAGACACTCAGTAAATATTTTTGAATATATGAATTGCATATACTGCTTTTCTTTGTGGACTTGAATCAATCTTATATACATGTATATTTGTATTGAACTTAACTGTTCTTTTATTTTAAATTTGCTTTTAACTCTATTTTGAGCCTATTTTTAATATTATTTATTTTTAATAGAAATAAAATATAATTTTAAGGTGGATATCACTGTAGATCCTACAGACATTAAATGAACAATAAGGAAATATTATGAACAACATTATTCCAGTAAGTTTGATGAAAGTAGCCATAAGCAATTTGTAAACAAATGGGTATGGTTGTAGTTCAATAAAAGCTGGTATACAAAAAGGATGGAGGGCCAGATTTGACCCATGGCCATAGCCTTCTCTTGTCTCCTTAGGCTCAGGACCCAGAGCTGGTTCTCTCAGTAGTTTAAGGAATTTGAAGGAAGGGTAAGAGAGTAGTCTGCTCATAAAGCTGTGTTTTCTCAAACTAGTTTAAGGCATTGACCCCTTTTATGTGCAAGTAATATTCTCACGAACCCTCACTGCTGACTTCAGTTTTATTTTAGTATTATAGTAGTATATAGAATTATAAAATTCACTAACTATATTAAATCACACTATGAAATCATAAAGTGGTTGTATTTACAAAAAATACTTTGTTTAATTACTCTTTCATAGATGATAATTTGCTAAATTGCTTGCAGTATAAACATTAACTTATAGCACAGCGTCTTTTGAATTGTATATATGTGTGTGTGTGTGTGTGTCTGTGTTAGTATATATATAATATCTACTGTAGTTCATGTGATGACTAAATTTTCTTATCTCTTTTCTCTGAACTACAAATCTTAGTCTGTTTTGAAAGGGTGGCATCACGTGGCTCTCACTTGGGCAAGAATGTATTTATGTTTGAATTCTGCCATTGTCCTTTTCTCATTCGTTCCTGACAATTAAAGTGGTACTTCTTGGCATCACTTGATTGAAAACAATCGTTAACATCTTGTGGCAATTTTCTATTATAAAATGCCTATACTAATATTTGAAGCCATCCTTGAAATGAAAACATAAAATTAAAAAAATCATCAGAGAAAATTTACAGATCTTTGAATATGTTCACAGACTGCAGTTTGAGAAACACAGTTGTACAAGTTTTGTAGAATCTTTTTTCCTGAATTTCATGTGGCAAGTGTAAGGACACTCTGCTATTGGGATGTACGATGCAGAAACTTTGTCTTTTTAAAGTGTGGCCCTGCCAGTATTGGAAAAAACAATAGGCTCGGAAACTGTAGATACTTGATGAAAATAACATGAAAAGAATTTAAATATTGCTTGTATAAAATAAATTGTGGTTATGGCTATTTATGTTTCCTATATATCATTGACTTCTAATTATCATACACGGAACAATTTTTACACATATTGTAAATTATATATCAGATTAAAATAATAGGATTTTCTTGCTCCTAAAGACCTTAAAGATCATTTAGATTAGTCCTTTCACTTTATAGATGACACTGAGGCTGAGAGGTGACCTGACCTATTTAAGGATACTTAGCATAGGAGAGGACAGATAGTGGTCAGAATGCAAGATTATTTGGATTCTTGTTCTGAGGTTTTTCTCTACAGTAAGGTTGTCTTTTTTTCTGAGACCTACAGAATGATAGTAGACTGTGAACTTCTTAAGGACAGGATTATGTCTTCTATTTTTCTGATTTTCAGAGCCTAGTACTGTGGATGATTTATATTTAGGAAGTGACTGCTAATCTAATTACAGCTATTGAATCATTATGTTGTACACTTGAAACCATTATAATGCTATATGTCAGTTATATCTCAATTTAAAAAAAAGCATATATGAAACACTGAAATAATAATCAACATCTGCAAAGAAGAGCTAAAATTAAAGCTTTTTCTCTTGAGCTGAATTAGGAAAGTAATTTGTCAAATGATGCTAAATAATAGATATGGATTAGTGGGACATGTACCTAATGCCTAAATAAGAGGGACCTAATTTTAAGAGCATTGTGAAGGGACCTGAAAGGTAAGAAAAAACTTACAATTAAGGCTTATGAAAATATACTTACTGTATATATGGTATTGTTACATCCATTTAAACATTTATTTTTTAAAAGATAATTTGAATTTTTTTATGCTCACTGCTGCAAATCTTGCCTTGTTTTTTATATTGACTTTTATAATATGCCATGTTGGCTGTGTTCTTTTGTTTTATTTCCCATCTTAGAGTTTTATAAGCTGTTTGAGTAAAGGAAAATAAAAATACATTGCTTAGATAAAAAGACTTTAATGTTCAAAGATGCTTTTTTGAAAATGCTTCCAATGAATTTTTGAACAGGCCAGTACAGATGCGAAACAATGTCAAGATGTAAATTTTTGAGCAGGTCAGTACAGATGCACAAATGTCAAGATGTAAATTTTTACTGTTTCAGAGAATTCAATAAGTTAATTTTAGTTATTGGTATATGAATAGCATTGAAGTCTCTTGCCCCTTTATCTTTTTCTACCTTCATTTCTTATTAGTGTGCAAATGTTTTCTAGTTGACAATATTTAGAGATCTAGTACCAGTTAACAATATTTAGAAAAGTGGTATATCAAGAAAAATTTGAATATACTATTTAAATATTTTAAGAAGGAAAAGTCTTAATTTTATTGAAAGTTGCTGTTAAAATCTCAATTATTTTACTGAGATGTAATTATAATCAGTTTTTCTGTTCTTGCGATTTATATTCTTGATTATGTACCTTTTGAGAATATGCATTCTTATTTTTTACATAACAAAGGTTTCATCTGAAATATTAATGCTTATAAATGTTTAAAGCTGTTTAGAAACATAAATTAAAATATGCGTATTTTCTATTTTATTATTTTTAAGACATAAAGGTTTAAAATCATTAACAAGTGGAAACTTTTTGTTTTTTGTTTTAAGTAAGGCAAATATTATAAGTATAAACTTTTATTTTTGACAAAAGCATAAAAATGTGTTTTGTTTTCTCAGTTTAATGGCAGACTTCATATAGCCAGGGTTTCTTTTCTCTTACTTTTAGCTGTCCCATCATGCAAAGAGGGTTTAAGCTGGTAGGATTATACCTTATTTTAGATAATTTTAATTTTAAATTTTAAATATTTTCTCTTACTTTTAGCTGTCCCAGCATGCAAAGAGGGTTTAAGCTGGTAGGATTATACCTTATCTTAGATAATTTTAATTTTAAATTTTAAATATAGGAAACTAGGCCAGTAAATTTTAATAAAATACTTAAAGTTTTATTAATTACAAAATTGGAATATTGTGTTTTTGACTTGTGAGATAGAGTAAAAAAGTATATGTACCAAATTTTGACATTTGTTCTTATCATATATATAAAGTGAAGCCTAATGATGTTTCTCTTTGTAAAATAGGAATCTTAGAGTATAGATATATGTAAATAACCCATCAAAAGTCTAGAGTTAAATTTTGCTGTCATACAGTTGTGTGATTTTTCAGAAATCATGTAAGTT